CTAAGATAGACAAGGCTGTTTGGTCGTCCTACGCTAGTGAGCTTCAAGCAGCAACCTTGGCTTTAGACTGTGCTGTAAGCGTTCTTCTCCTGCACGAGCAAATAATCTGGGGTTTGAAGGCCAAAGCTGTCAAGGAGAAGTTGACAAACGGTTTGACGACCAGAGTCCGTGTTACAGACAACAAAGGTCTTTTTGACGCCATCCAGATAGAGAAGCCCTCAACAAGAGAGGGGTCAAGATGCAGTCTTTAGTGCACCAGATTCTCTATGATCTTTTTGTAGATTATAGTTTCAAGACGTTCTGGGTTAATGGGGAGCACATGTTCGCGGATGGGTTGGCTAAGCTGAGCTCCTCCGGAGGCAAGACAGAGCTGGTCAGGGAGCTAATGGATCATTCAACTATCCGTATAACGTACTGCGAAACTTCTGGTAGAAACGAGAAACAGTTGCACGCACTGGAGCCTCATAGGCCGGCATCCCAGGGACTTGAGTCATCAATAGTCAATAGATGTTTAGGGGTCTGGGTTTTGTGGCTTTTCTAGTTTTGGTAGCTCGTACGCACTGCACTAGTGGCTTCGCAGACTGTTTAAGACATTTAGAAGCTTGAGGAACAAGTTATGAAGGAATATGGTTCCTGCAGTTGCACTCGCTATGCCGTTCCCCACAGATCAGTCGGTCGCGGGGGTGTTAATGGAGCTACTGAGCCAGCCATCAGAGGTAGGAAGACCGACCTCTTGTGTGGAATGGCTCAAGTGCTCGCACATGAGTACATCAGAGGTGAAGCGGAAACAAGCTTGGTGCTTTGCACTGCAGACATGCAGGACATGTATCATCTTGGAGGTATGCACTCAGCATTGACTTGTCTGATGAGGGGTATGCACCTATTCAGCACGCACGCGGTCTTGATACTACGTAGAGTTGCCTGCCAACTAACAACCAGTGGCCTCCTTCATCCTGCTTCCACCCTTTGTGGCTCCGAACACGCCACGTACTCGATCTTCCTCTCAAGCATTCCACTCTTTACGAGGTGACCCATGATCAGGTCAAACTCCTTGTCTGACTCGACAAGAACCGGCGCCTCGAACCTTGGATCAGCAATCTCGTCATCCGCGATGCGCAGGAGACTTGGGTCCTTCACGAATGGCCTGAGTTCCGGAGACGCAACCTCAGCCAGGCTCACAGCTTACCCTTCCGGCATCTCCTGGCCCAGGCACATGTAGAGGCATTGGCTTCCACGACAGCCTATACGCCTTTTCAATGCTCGGCCAAAGTAGACTCTAAGTAGACGTCTCCGAGCGTATGCTTCAGGCTTTCCCACTTGTCGATGATGACAGAGGTGTCCTCTTCGGAAGTCATCAACACAGCATAGCTTCGCAAGCGGTCGACGCACTCCTGTTGGTCCGCTGTGTAGGTGTCCGGGTGGAGCATCACCTGTCCCAACATCTGGCGTCCTCCACAAAACATGAAGTCAAGCACCACCACCTGCGGGAAGGTCCAACATTCTGCCCCCAGCTCCGCCGAAGCTTTCCTTTGATCCGATCAAGCGCCTCCAGGCCCACATCCTTTCGCTCCCATACGTTCAGCATCTCTTCCTGAAGCTTGAGAAGATCGGGACTTTCTCGAGGCAATGCCATCGGAAGGAGATGGGGTTGGCCTTAAATTGCCCCCTAGCGCAGCAAAGAAGACACCTCGCAAAGTTTCCCAGATGTCCGGCTCTGGCCCCCAAGCCCAGCTTCAGCACCAGGCCAACAAGCTGAGGAAACCCCATTCACCAACCAGAACCGAAGCCACGATCTCCAAGCCTCAGCATTCCAGCATTCACCTGCTGAAAAGCTCTGGGAGCGGATCAAGCCCTTGGCGCAATCAACTTTGCCCTGAAGGAGATAAAGAGGCCGGCCATGTAGCGCCAGCTTGGCAGCATCTGAGGGAATGCTTGCAGCACATGACCCCCGCAAGATGCTCCTAGTCACCTCAGAAGTTCCAGCTCCAACATAGACGCCGCCATCACTAGCATCCCATTCAGGACGCCATTCACACACAGGGATCCCGTTCACCACTTCCAGGACACGCGCTCGAACATATTCGGGGGCCGGAGCTCGTGTAGCCGCCTGCAGGAGTAGGCAGCAACTGACCACCTATCTCCTGCCCAGTCCTCGACTGCACGCTCCGTCCTGGCGTCGAAAGAGAAGAACTGGTAGCGCGTCGACCTGCACACCTGAAAGCACGCCGTCGACATCAGGAAGGTCCGCTTCTCATCCCCAAAGCGGTACGATTCAACGCCCGGGAGATTACCCTCATGGACCCTCATCCTTGCGCAACCCCACAGGCGAGTTGTGGTTCACGCAAAGACCTGTCCAAGACTCTCCTGGCAACCGCTTCAGCCACGCCTTCAACGCAACCACAATGTCCTTGTACTCTGACGTCTGGGAAGTAACCCGAAACGCTCCTTGGTCGCGTAGCCACCGAGGTTGTAATAGCCAGACGAAGAAGTCCCACGCTGTCCAACCACATTAGCTCTCTGTCCTGGGGTTGCAGCCACAAAGACAGCCTCAAGATGCTTTAGCATCTCCACGGACTCGGTCTGAAGGTCGGAGCCCTGCCGCACCGAGGCGCGACGCGAAGGCAAGGGACTCCCGAGGCCCAGCACTCTCTCTAAGCTCCCTAAAGAATTCGCGCGCCAAGCCAATAAAGTCCGTCACGCTAACATCCGAGTCGTCCACAATGTAGCAGGCGAAGGCGTGCCGGACGCGGAACCGCCTGCTGCATTCTGAATCATGCTAAGGGCATACAGCAACAGCTCGGCAACCTCAGGCCTCCTTGAGCTCTGGAAGGAAGAGCACTCCATTGACGACTGAGGCCTCACTCGCCTCTACTTGCGCCACTTGCCTTTGTCCTTCCGTCCTTTGCCTCTGCCCTTCTTCCTCTGACCCTTTAAGGTGTCCTCCGGAGGCCTGTCTCCTCCGTGCTTGCGGTCTCCGTCGCTCCGGGTCTCGCACCAGCTGCTCGGCCTCCATCGGCATCTCCTCGTATCCCGCTACACGTAGCAGTCAGCTTTCGCTTCGGCCTGAGCTGTGAGGACGGAGGTCTGGTCGTGGTCACAATGGCTTGCTTGTGTCCAGTGACCCTGAACCTGCGCAACCTCCAGCACCTTCAACCTCTGGATCAGCACGTCCAGAGCTCTTAGCCCGTCGGTTTGGCGCACCAAATCGATGGCTATCGCCAAGGTGAGCAGCTGCTTGATGTGGCGTGGCCCTAGGTGCTCGGCTCCGTGCTGGGCGAAGCACAGCTGGCGCAAGTGTGCTACCGGAGAAAGTTTTGGCCGGTCCCCTACCCTGAGCTCTTAGGAGTAGCTCTTGTAGCCATCAACGTCAGCGACGCCAACCTTCCAGGATGGCGCTGATGGACTCGCCGAACGCGCTCCATCCCTTTGGGTCAGCTCGGGGGCCGAAGCTTGGGGCGGCCGTGGCTTCCTTGCGGCAATCTTGTCAGACATCCTTCGTGCCCTCATCGCCGGCTGTCGCTCGCCCTCGTGGCCTTCAAGCTCCTCCAGGCCTCTAATTCCAGCTCCCAGCGCATCAGCCAAACCAGCCCACGCCAGCAGGTCCAGTACGAACATCGCAGCCCCCATCACCCGAGCTGTGAGCCCCCCCAACCCCCGCCCGCAGGAGCGGCAGGACTCGAGGCCTGGGCAACGTGAGCTGGATATGCCAGAATTCTAGCCTTCGACTCATCTGTGATCCAAATTAATAGCTCCTCCAGCATCGCCTGCTCACACATCCACGTGCATGACGTCCTTGAGGATGGTCTCATCTTCGCACTGACCGCCATAGGTGCTGCAAACGTGAAAGGGGGCTCGCCTGTCCACCCAATAAGGCATAGCACTCATCCTCAGCAGCAAAGATGTAGCAGATGTAGACGTGCCCATGCTTCGTCGGGTGCCATCTCCTTCCGCGGTCAGGTATCCAAGCACGCGACCCTGGGCTCTCCCGTCCAACGAACTCCACCCACCGTTCAGCTGCCAAGTCATCGAAGTGCTCTTTGGGGGCAAAGCACCCAGTCTTCCTCCACTTTGGAAGACTTGCCATGGCCGCACACGCCTGCCCCCATGGTTTTTCAGGACTTACGGAAGACTCCCCCGAAAGAGTCCGGGCTACGGGGCCACCTAGAGCACACCCTTAAAGAAGGGAAAGACAATTTTTTGGACCGAAAACTCATGTGCTGAAGCATTCGCACTACCCGTCAGGGGGCTGTTTTCTGTCCATGGCAAGACCGTGTCCATGGCACAGTGCATCAAGAACATCGTGGCTGGGCATTCCGCACAGTTTGTTCGGCGTGACGGATTCTTAGAACCATGTTATTCGATTTGTTCTAACAAAAGATCTGAAGCGTAGCAGAAGGTTGACGGAAACTAGCTTCTCAGCTCGTCTTGTTGAGTGACAGTCTCAAAGCACATCCGCTGCTGAACCCTCCCGCGTTGGACTCTGAGATGATCAACATATCATCTTCCCTGCACCTATACCTGTTGCGTCTTTTGCACAGAGCATCTCAGCAAGGCCGGCCATGTAATGTAGGCAGACTTCAGTTTACGCGACTTCGACATGTAGCTTTTGCCAAGACAATCTCCTTGAGACCAAGGTGCTCCACGGGGCTGAATCGTGGCAATCATGCATGAGACCCTACGACGACAAGTTCTGATAGCTGCGCAGGAAAGGTGCGTGCCTGCAAGACTTTGCAAAGCGCTTCCGCAAAAGTAGAGATGAAGGTAAAGTACATACTGCACTTGACACATCCACACTAGCTGCACGCGAAAGCACCGTCTGAGAGCCTGCATGTTCTTTCTTTTTGAACTCGAACAGATTACCTTTGAACATGTCTGGCTGGCTGCTGGATGCATCCTGATTATCCTGACAGCTCAGTGTGGTCCTGCGCGCGCTTGCCATGGCACAGCAAGTTCATCTGAGGGCAGATCAACACGCCTGGCATGCATAAGAAGGCGGTGGCCTCCCGGCTTCTCAAGAACATCACGCGGACAGACCAAGCCTCAGACAGTTGTTGCATCAATATTCACTTCATTGATGCAGATGTGGTCCAAGCTATGTTGCCAATCAAGAAGAGTGACCTGCACTGCAAAAAATCGCAAATGCTAGCTAATAGTCACGAAACGGAAGAAATGAGGATCCTCATTTTCCAGCCTCCTTGTACACTTCGCGCGACAAAGAATGGTGTTCATGCACGAACGCATCCTGATTGACACGGGTGCGCATTGCTTCGCCTTCCCACCATCTTACCACAAGGACAACTGCCACAACAACCATGCCACGATTTGAACTTGCTGCGGTATGGACGCGAGCAGAGTCCACGGTTGGTTTCTTTCCTTGTCCCTCTTGAAATGCAAATGAAGGTAGCCCTTCTGCAAGGCTCTTTGGGGATTTGTCGGCGAGAGGTTGTTTTACCTTTACCGGCAACTGCGGTTGGGGCATGCTTCGGCAGCCTTCTGGCAACGCTTCTGCAAATTGAGCTTGCAAAATCAAAGCACTCGACGGGGCCACGGGGCCAGAGGTTGCTTTTGCGCATTGCTTATGCACTGCCTCCGTACACGTACAACAAGCATGTGAAACCCAGGGTCATTTGAGCATATCACTCGAAATGCTGATTGTTGTGCAGGCGGTGCAAAGTAAATGCACACAGTTGTGTTTTCTTAGTCTGCGGGTCTCTTTCGTCTTGGCCGTTCCCACCATCGAACTGTAGACGCCGTTTTTGAGTGTGCGTTACTGTAGCGATGGCCGCGAAACGCTGCTAGCCGTGGGAGATTCTGAATGCGTGGACTCTTGGAGGGGCCTCGAAATCTCTGCACTCTTTTAAGGTTTTGTGCTTTTTCTGATTGTCAGCCGTTTCTACTCGGACCTGGGTCCACCTCATGCCCGAACCATTATAACGTGTGCATGCATGCCCATTCGTGTTTTTTGTTCGCGTTCCAAGTGCATCCAGTCACCACTGTATCTATGCCGAAGCCATAATTACGTTGGTGTTCCAAGTGCATGCGGTCAGCAGTGCATCCATGCCCACACCACAATTGCTCTCATGTTCGAGAGCATCCCATGACCGTTGCTTCCATGCCCAAATAGTTGCGCTCATGTTCAAGAGCATCCGATGAAAGCTGCATCCATGCCCCAACCACAATTGCTCTCATGATTGAGAGCATCCGATGACATTGCCATCCATGCCCAAACCACATGCTCTCATCTTCATCCGATGACCGTTGCATCCATGCTCAAACCACAACTGCTCTCATGTTCGAGAGCATCCGATGACCGTTGCTTCCAAGCCCAGACCACAATTGCTCTCATGCTCGAGAGCATCCGATGACTGCCGCATCCATGCCCAGACCACAAATGCTCTCATGTTCGAGAGCATCCCATGACCTCTGCATCCATGCCCAAACCACAACTGCTTTCGTTTTCGGGAGCATTCGATGACCGTTGCAAAACAAAAAAGCAAAAAATAAAGTAAAGTGCCCAGGCATTCTTAGTTAGGACATTCATTGACAACAGGCCTGGAAGTCATTCATGAAACGTGGGTGCCCGGACGCATACGACATGCAAAAACCACTGGCCGACGCAGCATGTTTATGATTGCGGGTAAGAGCATGTTTTTCTACAACCCTCCGACCGCGTGGAAAATGCTGCAATTTGGCTCCTCGTTTCCAAGACACCCCTGCGTGTCGGCCGCATCGAAAACTTCCTGAAAATGAGACGATGCCCGCGAATTCTGGATTACCCACGCGGGCCAGTGTTGCGGCCATTTTCCTTCACGACCACAGCGCGTAAAAACGAGACAAATCTCCAGTTGTTCAGTGAAATCACGATCCCCTGCGCTGGCCGGCAAAAAGCACCCTTTTTCTGCGGGCCAGGTTGCTGCATCCGAAGGTTCAAAAGTGGGGTGCCTGCCACATAGAATGACTCTTGCATGGCTTCCGGTGTGCGTTTTCAGGGCAACGGCGCATGTTAGGTTTTGCACATGATGCTTTGCCCTGGGCTCTACTCGCATCATGCCATTGCCTGTCTGCCTTAACATGAACCCGCATGCTCAATATAGAATAGTTCAGCTTTTTCACGGCACCGCTGCAGCCGCAACCACGCTGCTGCCACCACCAACTGGCCACCGCCACCCCCACCCACATCACCACCACCGCCGCCGCCGTCGCCACCACCATCACCCCTGCCATCGCGGCCGCCACCACCATTACCAGCACCAGGGGTAAGGGGCGAGTCGGGAACCTCCACGTGCAGGTCAGGAACCCGCAAGGGGCGAGTCCGGAACCCGCAAGGAGCGAGTCGGGAACCGGTGGCAGCCACGCGTCAGGAACTCCAGCTTCCGGGCTACACAGAACCCAGGGACGACCGACACGACCAACACGGCCGACTCGACCGACATGACCGACGTGACCGACAAGACCAACACGACCGACACGACCGACCAACGCCACCGACCAACGCGACCGACCAACACCACCGACACGACTGACACGACCGGCACGGCCAACACGACCGACACGACCCACACGGCCAACACGACCGACGCGACCTCCAGCATTGAATCGCTGAAGTTCGCCAAATACCTGATAATTTTCCATACTAACTAAGTATTGATTGTAGCGCAGACATAACGTAGTATTTGGTGCTCTTTTTTGATAAGCCCTGCAGCCTAGATGTCCTACTGACCCCCTGAAAATGTTCATGGGGGCATTTGCGTAGCAATCCCTCAGTCCTGGGTCAAACTTGATATTGTTGTGTACTTCAATAGCATCACACCCGATAACGTACTGAGGGCTAGTAGGGAATAAAAAATAAATTCTGTAAGTAAAGACCATCTAGGGTTCTATTCCCCTATTTCCTACTAAAAACTACGAGTAAGAAGAAGCAATGCGGAGTTTTGTTTTCCATCGTATCCCAATGAGAAGCCATTTACACCCAGTCCAAGTCGAACCCCGTCGGTCCAAGCTGGTGACGAGTTTTGAACTTAATTATGACCGTCCCATCAGTCCAGGGATCGTTCCCATTAGTCCAAGCAGCGCCTCATCAGTCCAAGCTGGTGAAGAGTT